TTTTTCTGTTGGGATATCAATGTTTTTCTTATTTGTTTCTGAGGCTCCTTATAGATTAATAATGCTAACCTTCTGGAGCCCTGGATTCTTGATGTGGCTCTGACTTACTGTGGTAATGGTTAGCCAGTCCCTTTCCTTTTCTGAGCTAGAATGTTTGGAAGGTCCTAGATGGCTCTGCTTGCATGGCTGGTGGTTAACTGGAAATGTTGGCCAGGAGACCTTGGTTTTTCTCTGGTGGCCTTTCCAGTGGCCAGCTTGGGTTTCTTTATAGCATGGTGGCTGGATTCTGAATGAACAGGTCCCAATGTACAAGTGCTTGTAAGCCTCTGGTTGTGTCGCAAGTCACATGGGAAGTCCCAGGGCCAGTGTGGGAGGAGGTTACCCAAGAGTGTGAATGCCAACAGGGTGCTTCCTTGGGTGCTCCTGGGGTTGGACATCTCTGCTACAAAATCCTCCCACATATCGACTTCAAATCTATCTCCTTGTAGCTTCTGCCCACCTCTGGTCCCAGTTGTGCCCTCTGGACCCTCACAGAATAAGTCTGTTATCTCAGCCCCATGACATACCCGCATCTGAAAACGAGCTGTCCCATCCACTTACGGCTTCCCTTCTCCAGGTCGCAGAGTCCCATTTCTTTGTCAGGTATTATCTGACACGGTTTGGAGAGCTTTCCTTTTCTCCCTGGCTGCCTGCCTTTGGGCTCCATTCTAGAAGGAGAACACAAATCTCTAAGTCTCAGGGAGGTCAGACAGGGCAAAATCAGGAAGAGGCATTTCCCTGTTAGATCCACCAGTGGGCGGGAAAGTCCTAGCGTCACAGGCAGAGCTTGAATTCAGGTTCTCAGCATGCTCAATCTGTGGGGACTGAAATATCTACAAGGAGGATAAATTTCCTTTCTGGAAAACATTTTATTAAATCAGTTTATTACAAACTGCATAAAGTGTCCCTGGAGCTCTGCCAGTCATTGCTGGGAGTGAGGAGCTTTCTAAGAACCAGAGCTGTTCAAGAATGGAATGGGCTGTCACGGAAGCCAGTGTTCAGGGTGGCTGGAGGACCCCTTGGGGGTGTTGTCTAGGAATTTCCTGCCCTTTAGGGGGTGACATGGGCGATACTGTACTCTCCTGGGACATTCCCATGTCCAGGAAGCAGTGGATTCAGTGTTGCCAGGGTCTCAAAGCCTCTGCCACTCCTGGCCCTTGTATCTGAGACTCCCTGCATGTCTATTTATCCCTGTCCTCTTGTTCCTCAGACACCAAGAAGGACCTGAAGCAGATCACCAGCCACCTGCTGGACATGCTGGTCAGCAAGAAGGTGTCTGGTCAGGGCAGGGATCAGGCGCTGAACCTGCTCAATAAGAACGTCCCCAGGAAGGACCTTGCCATTCACGACAACTCGCGCACCATCTACGTGGTGGATAACGGTGAGGAGGCGGGAGGGTTCAGGGCTCACTTGAGCCTTTTAAGTGGGCACCGGGGTACTTGGCACTGAGCAGAAAGTGAAAGAGATGAGACTCTTGTTTGGAAGGAGACTTCAGTCCCAACCGAAAAGGTGGGAAAAGGCAGAAGGTGTAGGTCAGGGCTTGAACACATCCAGAAAGTGGCCAGACACACCCCAAGACAACTGGGTGGAATTACCCAACAAATGGGGGCAAGTGCAGAAAAACAAGTAGGATTCCACCCACCATGGAGTAACATTCCAGAAGTCTCATGGTTGGTAAAATACTTCACAGGCCTTCTAGAAGGCAGCAAATGGCATCAAGCATACTTTATATTAAAGCAGAGTAAACACGTTCTAGCGGATGGTCGCTACATTTGTCAGCCCCAGGGTGTTACCCCTCGCCTAAATCAACTTCTTTAACTGTTCAGGAATCATACCTGTGGCCTTATAATCTGTTATGGCAAACTCTCCCACAGGTTTTATGACATAGAACAAGGCTATACCTTGTTCTAAAAGGTTCAAATCAGCTTTTACCAGCTTGAAATTTATTACCTTTTCATATTGCACTTCTCTGGTTTGGTTTTCACTGATCTCAGCAAAATGAGCATACAAGTGCTGAGACTCTAACAAATTGAGTGCTCAGGCCCCACACTGCCCTGGTCTTCTCTGCAGTTACTAGAAAGATTGAGCATCAACCACAAACCTCTTTTCTCTGCACTAGGATTTAGGCTCAACCACGATTTACGGGATGGCTCAGGTGGGGAGGAATATGTGTTATTCTCTTCTTTTTTTGAAGGGCACCAAAATGGATAGCACATGGGTAAAAATACTGTGGGTTGAAAAATTCTGCTGTACGAATGCAAAGCTGCAGTGTTGAGGTATTGCATGTTGTGCCAATTGTGCTGGGAGGCTCGGACAGGTTAGCCATGAGGATGTCAAACCGGCAGTAAGCTTTTGGATAAGGGAAGGGGCAAGTTGACAAGAAGGAGCTTCCAGAGTGTGGGAACAGAAGAGGAATGAGATGCTCAAGGCAAGGGCAGGAAGGGAAGGGGAGAGCGGGAGATGAGGCTGGGGAGTAATGATGTGCATTTGAAGGAGGCTTTTGGGACCCAGGCTGGGGAGTAAGAAATT